AGAGTGGCGAGTAGATTCAAATCAGAACACCTCTCTGTACATGAAACAACAGGAGAGTAGTGAGACAAGATGATAAAAGGATGAACAGAACATAGATGAAGTGATGGTCAGAGATAGAGAGGGGGCAGGGAGAGAGAACTGTAGGATTATGTAATTTTTTTTACTGTTGTGCCTTCATCCTCTTACAGCAAGATTAAATGGGAAAAAGAGTACATGTGTGTCAATGTGTGTTTGTGTGCGTAAAAGACCTTTGGTGTCAGCAGAAATCTACATGTCTTACCTCTTAAATACAATTTTGCAACAGTAATGAACCATGTAACATGATCTTGCACTACAATATGAGATGCATTAGAGCATGATTTGTAATTCTGTATTTTTTTTTTTTTTTTTTTTTTTTTTTTTTTTTTTTTTTTTTTTTTTTTTATCTGTGATGGTCACATGGTGTAATACATGTTCATCATAAATAATCATAATGCTGTCCTGCAACATGTAAATATTGTAAAACTGTCATTGTTGAAAATGATGTAGGCTAAAAGGTGGCTATGTCTGAAATCACATACTTTCTTTTGAATAAGTACTTTAGTTAGTAAGCACTTACGTAGTACTATAGTATGAATGCAATCTGGATGTACTACATTAATTATACTGTAATTTTCATGCAACCTATCAGCATCATTTGTGTCTCCTCATGGTCATTCATGTTTTAGGACTGTAATTTTAACTAAATAAAAATGAGAAATGTTCCTTTGGCAAATAGCTGAAATAAATATTTTTGTATTTTATTTAATTTTTTATTTATTAGCAATTAACGTTTATTTATTTCAAGTAACACAAATGTTTTTTAATGGTTTTAATTTTAGTTTCCGTTAATAATAACCTTTGAACATTCAAAGCATAATCAAAGCAGTCAATGCTGATGAGAACGTGAAAGAGATGTGTGTATACTTGGGAATTGTACACCTGAGCATGCTGGCCTTGAAACAGCCATTTGATGAATCTATAATATGCAAATGAGATCAATAAAAACTATTATTCATTTGCTGATATAGTGCTGTTATAATGAGTATGCAGATGTGTTTGTATCTGATGCAACTTTGTTTAACTGTGAGATATTTATAATATGCTGACATAGAAGTAGATGCTATTGGACAGGATTCTGTCAGCGTGTCTTTTATCCATATAAAGTGTTTGTCATAGCAAGGTCCTCATACCACCCCCTTCTGCGGTACACCTGTCTCTTATTAGATGGTCTAAACACACACGCATATATACACATACAGGTCAGCGGGTGCGTCATCAACCTTGGGACGAGATGCAGAAGTGCATGATCTGTAATCCCGTTTTTTTTTTTTTTTTTTGCAATGGTCACATGGTTTAAAGAGGTAAAATACACTGTGAAATAAATATTAATCACAGCCAACAGTCATTCTCATTAGTAGGTAGCATATGTGCTGCTGTTGGCAGCAATCTGTTTTTAACTAGCTTTAACCTTAATTACACATCTTCCTGAGTGAATGTGTGTGTTATATTGGAGACAAACACACACTTCTGTCTTCTCTTTCTCCATCTCTCTCTCGTTCCACTCAGTCCCTCTTTTTTTTCTCTCGCTCATATTTATCTCCGGAAGTCTATAATTTCTGTAATCCTAATCTGAGGGCGGGGCCACAGATTATCAGTGGATAAGAGATGGAAGAGGGAATATGAAGGGGAGGGACACGCATGAGTCATGGGAGTTATAATTGAAACACATTGCTATTTTCTAATGTCCATGAGACACCTTTTTAGTTTCTGTACAGCACATCATGGCTGCAGAATTAATCTGCTCCTCAACATACAAGCACACATGTGCAATCATCTCCCTCTCATTTCTCTTCTCTTGTCTCTGATTGTGAGTTGTTTGAGGTTGAGGGGATTATAAGGGATCTGCTTTTGTAGGAACAGTGACAGAATGAGAGAAACAGAGAGAAAGAAGTATAGAGGGAGAAAGAGATTAAGACAGATATTGTGATATGTGTATGAGATCCGTGGAGCTCAAAAGTACCGTAGTTCTCTGAATTTGATACAACTATATATTACATTTTAAGGCTGCATTTATTTGATAATAAATACAGCAAAATCGGTATTATTGCAAAATATTATTATAATTTCCAATAACTGTTTTCTGTTTTAATATGTTTTTAATTGTCATTTATTCCTGTGATGAAAAGCTGAATTTTCAGTTATTATTATTGCAGTCTTCAGTGTCACATGATCTTCAGAAATCATTCTAATATGCTGATTTGCTGCTCAAGAAACATTTACTATGATTGCGGTCTTATTATTACTTTATGTAAAAAACCATGTAACATTATTTGAAATAGAAATCATTGATTTCTTTTTCTTACATTCTTAGTGTGATTTGTGAGAATGACACATTTTAACATTATATAGGCCTAGTCACACTGAGAGTGTCTGTGTGTAAAGGACAGATTTAATGCATTAATTTGGCGAGCAGATTTAATGGTGAGCATTTTCTCTGCAGATTAAAATCATATACTTATTGTAAGCTTCAGAGCATATGTCTGTGAAAGTGTTTGCTCGTGTGCTTCTATGTAAGTGTGTTTTTATTGGCTGTAAGCATTGCAGACAGGTTGCACACCCAGATGGTCTCTCTTTAGGTCTCTGCTGGACTCCCATGTACTGCTATCCAGTGAGATGCCTCATTCTTGTTCCATGTCCTCTCTCCCTCTGTATCTTCCCTCTGCATCCCACCTGCTTTTAGGTGTGTTTGTGATGTAGTTTTATGACTTATGAGGGTTCCCTAGTGGATGTGACTTCACAGACTAGCTCCATACCTGTTAAGTGTAATAAAACATAGTTAGAGATGATCTGAATGGTTCATAAAATATTTTAATATAAAAGCTAAGCACACGGTGCAATAATACTTAAAATGGCTGCAACATTTTTCATTAGTGGGTGAATGGTAACCAAAATTAACCGAGTTTGACCCCACAATGAGCAAGACATAAACTAGTACCATTGTGTCCTTGAGTAAGACACTTAACCTCAGATTAATCCAGTACTATCCCTATAGTACGTGGCCTAAAAATTGCTTTGGATTAAAGTCTTTTTAAACTTTGACCCTCTACAGGGCTTTTCACACCTGAAATAGTTAACAATGTGTCAGTCTAAAACCCTGGGTAAGGGGTATTCAAATTCATAATCTGACATTTCACACCGTATATTTATAAACCCTGGGTTAATGTTCTTATTTGCATATGTTTGGTGTTGCGTTTTATTCTGGAATTTAATCCCGCGGCGCAAAAAATTAACGTTTCCCCTACAAATTGGGTGCTTACAAATAAGAATAAACAAAATATTGGAGATGAATGTGACAGACAGGGAAAGATTTGGCATGCAAATTGATACAGTATAGCCGCTATCAGAGACACAGGACAGCAGCAATAAACAAGCAACAATATCTGCAGAGACAAAACAGTATGAAAAGTCAGCAGCCTATTCAAGTCAGCGGCAACATAAGCGATGACAACCTCAGAGAAACAGGACAGGTTAGCGAACTTGCACGATCCACAGACTTTGATGTTGGAAAAATGGGCAAGCATGAAAACAAGACGTTTTCAGATTTAATTACCTTTATGTCTGAAAAGTTTAGGACAAGAAGCTCTTAAATTTGCTGGCTACTTTAAAAAAAAAAAAAGTATAATAAAACTGCAGATTTAAAACTTCTATTCTGCTATTACCTTGTTGCTGCGGTGTTTAGCCGCTCCGATGGGTTTTATATTTCTTTATTGTCACTGCCTACTGAGAATAGGTAGGAAAACTGTTAAATATTAGGGCTCGACAATAAGGGTGCCCGATAGCATAGCCCAGGGCCAGCAGGAAAAAACGCTCGGGACAGTTGACAGATTTCTCACTGGATCAATTGGGCCACTGCTGTGTGCTCACACATGTTTAGCATTTGCACATGTTATTAAGCTTTACCAAATTAAACATTCAATAAATTTCAAAGCATTAGAAGATGCGGAAAGCACACAAAGCGCAAGACTAGGCGAAAGACACACAGCGAGCCCCGAACTACACTCTTAAAAATAAAGGTGCTTCGAAAGGTTCTTCAAGCGATGCCATAGAAGAACCATTTTTGGTTCCACAAAGAACCATTCAGTCAAAGGTTCTTTAAAGAACCATCTCTTTCTTACCTTTTTATAATCTGAAGAACCTTCTTTCACCACAAAGAACCTTTTGTGAAACAGAAAGGTTCTTCAGATGTTAAAGGTTCTTTATGAAACCATTTAGACAAAAAGGTTCTTCTATGGCATCGTGAAGCACCTTTATTTTTAAGAGTGTAAGTTTCTCTTTCACGTCTTCTTGCACTTTAATGGACAAATACACCTTGCCAATTTGAACATCCAAGCGATGTTAACCTATTCAAGTGCAAGAAGATGTGAATAACAACTCCAAAAAAAAAACCTCACCATAAAAACCTAAAGCATATCTTTAATTTGTATCTTTGTTCTACTTATTTGTGCTATTGCTTGTAATTTGTTCATTTGTTCTTATTTACTGACTGTTCACTTGTCTTTAATAATGTTTGAACTTTGTTAGACTAATAGTTTTTGCCATGGTATCGAAACTAAAACTAAAATTAAAACTTAAAAAAAAAATTTTTTTTACTTGAAATAAAATAAACCTTACTTGAAATAAAATAGAAAGGGGCCCGAATTTCTGTCTTGCATACCCCCCTCTCTTCGTGGCGCCCCTGCATCTAGCTTTAACAATGTACATGTTTGTCTACGCTGCAAAAGTGGCTCAAGGCTCCTCTGGAACAGGTGTAAAAAGGGGTGCTAGCCCTGCTTATAAATTACAACGTGAAGCGTTGCTTTACCTGGGGTTAAGTGCAGCGTTTAATGTTTTTGTATGAACTGAGAAAATCTTTAAACACTGTTATGCGGTTTATTTGAACTTAACTCACGTTGGCCTTTACTTTCTGTGTCCACATCCAGACTCCTGGAGAAACGGCAGCAGAATGGCGAGACTATCGAGCTGTCAGCGGAGGGCCGCCCGGAGCTGGTGGAGGAGAAGGAGCTTCCCGTCGTGGACTGCACGTGTTTTGGGTTGCCGCGTCGTTACATCATCGCCATGCTGTCAGGCCTGGGCTTCTGCATCTCGTTCGGCATCCGCTGTAACCTGGGTGTGGCCATCGTCAGCATGGTCAACGACCACACCATTTACTACGGAAAGAAACCTGTCATAGTGGTCAGTGTCACATTAATAAAGATCATCCATTCGAGTTTAAGAAAATTAATGGAAACAGAATGAAGAAATTGGGCATTTCTGAGTTTATTAAGGGGCATATTTTAAAATTGAAGATAAAAATGAGATTCATTAAGCAAGAGCCTACTGTCAGTTTGATATGCTATGTCAATATGTCAGTAATGCCAATAACATCAATATCTAAATACAAGCATACATAAATATATGCAAATTGACTCGGTCACTTCAAATTCCAGTTTACTAACATTAACCAGTTAGAGTTTTGGCTCTACATAGTGTGCACTGTGAGGTTTCCCTGTAGAATTTCACACAGCTATGCTTTGTTTAATAAGATTTTTAATAATTATATTATTTTAAAAATAGGTATTATTATTATTAGACAAATTTTGATCAATTTATTTTATGATCTGTTATTACTATTATTAGGCTATCTTACCTATACTGAACAGAATTATAAACGCAACACTTTTGTTTTTGCCCCCATTTTTCATGGGGGCAAAATCAAAAGTGTTGCGTTTATGATTTTGTTCAGTGTATATATTTAGTTTTATATTTTTTATTTTACTACTTTGTTGATTATTTTACTTCTTTCTCACATTCCCCCCTTCCCTTGTTTGTAAATATAACATGACACAGAAAAAGTGACTGAGGTTAATTCAGGTTATTTGATGCTTTGAAGAATAGTGCGTAATAATTTTTTATTGATTAAAACCTGAACTGACAAGGTATGCGACAGTATTCTCAGATTTTGCACAGAAAGCTTTCGAATATAAGTTAGATGCAAGGAGTTTGACTATCTTTTTTCCCACCCAGGCTGCTCAGTTCACATGGGACCCCGAGACGGTAGGGATGATACACGGCTCATTCTTCTGGGGTTACATCGTCACACAAATACCTGGGGGATTCATCTGTCAAAAGTTTGCCGCTAACAGGTAATGTGATCAGCGAATTGATGTTTTCTCAAGTGTTCTTTTTCTGAAGAGTTTTATGAATGAAAATGAGTCAATCTTGCATTGCAACAACCTACCCCATATATAATGAAAAAATTATATAATTATAATAAAATTATATAATGACAGTGTGTGTTCAGCAAATGTCAAAAATGAAACCTTTTTTCCCCAGCCCCATGTGATGAGATATTAGCATGGTATTTCATTGGGATTAGGCCTCAGTTGACTGTACTGCATGTGTGTTTGGTCTCAGGGTGTTTGGCTTTGCCATTGTGGCCACGTCGATGCTGAATATGCTGATCCCAGCAGCAGCAAGAGTTCACTATGGGTGTGTTATCATGGTCAGGATTTGCCAGGGGCTTGTGGAGGTATGCCATCTGTGTGCATGCGTGGATTTGTGTGGATCTGAAGTAGCCGGAAATATTAATGTTTTATTAGTCCAAATACATAGCATCACACTAAGGATTTTTTGTGTGTGTTACCATCATGGTTATATATATATTAAATCAGTTTATTACTCTACTGGAAGGGTGTGTCATATCCTGCATGTCACGGCATCTGGGCCAAATGGGCTCCGCCACTTGAAAGAAGTCGATTGGCAACAACAGCATTCTGTGGTAATTTGTCTAACGATCATTTGAATCCATAAATTATATAAACCTTGTAATCAATAGAATTTATATATTTTTGTGATTATTTGAACCTTGAATCAAGTTTTGATTTTGTAAAAAGCTGACATTGATGATAATGTTAGTGAATAGCACTAATAAGAGGAAGCATACTAAGAAACTGTATGTTATAGGTTCATATGCCGGTGCTGTTGTTGCAATGCCTTTGGCTGGAGTTTTGGTCCAGTACACTGGATGGTCCTCAGTGTTTTATGTGTATGGTAAGTAGCATATACGCGTCATTTTAATTATATGCAATAATATTTGATATAAAACTTTTGTTTATTTAATGATCCAAGTAAAAGCGAACACTTTAATATATAATATACAATATACACACACTATCACTCAAACGTTTAGGGTCAGTAATACTTTTATTCAGAAAGGATGCATTAAATTGATCAAATATGAAAGTAAAGACATTTATAATGTTACAAAACATTCATTTTTCAAATAAATGCTGTTATTTTATACTTTATATTCATCAAAGAATCATCAAGCATCAGCATCAGCATATTAGAATGATTTCTGAAGGATCATGAGACACTGAAGACTGGAGTAATGATGCTGAAAATTCAGCTTTGCCATTCAGCTTTGAATAAATTACATTTTAATATTTAAATATATAATAAATGATATATTTAATTAATTTAATTATATATTTAAATTACATATATATTGAAATTGTACGCAGTTATTTTAATTTGTAAAAATATTTCAAAATATTACTGATTTTTACTGTATTTTTTATCAAATAAATATAGCCTTGGTGATTGTAAGAAACATCTTTCAAAAACATTTGAAAAATCATGCCAATTACCCCAAAAACAGACCCCAAGCTTATACTTTAGTGTATATATAATATATAATTTTCATTATATATAATAATTTTTCACTCTCCTCACAGGGAGTGTTGGGATATTCTGGTATCTCTTCTGGATTCTAGTTTCCTATGAGAGTCCAGCTGTTCACCCAACCATCTCACCAGAGGAGAGGAAGTACATTGAGGATGCCATCGGGGAAACCGCCGGCCTGGTCAACCCTCTGCAGGTACAAACACAGGCATTATTTTTCTTTCTTCTTCAATCACTCTTCCACACATCCCCCTCCCTCTGTCACACACACACACACACACACACACACACACATACAGTCTGGTTTGCTACTCATTTCTCATCTCTCTAATTGCTGCTTGCTGCACTGTTCTGGATATGTTCGACCTCTGGTTTTTCGCTACCCTGCAGAAATTTAAAACTCCCTGGCGGCACTTCTTTACCTCCATGCCGGTGTATGCCATCATCGTGGCCAACTTCTGCAGAAGCTGGACCTTCTACCTGCTCCTCATCAGCCAGCCCGCTTACTTCGAGGAGGTGTTTGGCTTTGAAATCAGCAAGGTGACACACACACACACACACACACGTCTGGTTTGCTATCCTTGTGGGGATTCTCCATAGGCATAATGGTTTTTCTACTGTACAGACCTTATATTATATTGCCCTACACCAACATTACAACCTAAACCTACCCCTCACAGGAAACTTTGTGCATTTTTAGATTTTCAAAAAACTTAATTCTGTGTGATTTATTAGCTTGTTTACCCGTGGGGACCTCAATTTATGTCCCCACCGTGACACGAGTCCCCATGAGTCTGTGTGTATTCAGGTTTAAGTCTCCACCAGATTAGAAAAACAGGTACACACACACACACACACACACACTTAAATTGGTGATGCTCTACAACAGTGCTTCTTAACTGGTGGGCCACAACCCAAAAATAAATCACATGTCTGGTATGAAGGGTTGCAGACTGCAGGAAAAGGCAATGCTAAATAGAAACAATAAAATGCAACAGCATATAGTAATTTATAAATAATTTGTAGTTACCTTTAAAGAGTTTATAAGTAAAATGTTTGTCCTAAAACAAAACCAGCTGAGAAACACAGTATGCACACATATAATGCAGTATTGTGCAGGTGGATGAAGATGTTTTGTTCAATAACTAATCTTTTTGTTCCTTCTGTCACTCAGGTGGGGTTGGTGTCCGCACTTCCTCATTTAGTGATGACCATTATCGTGCCAATTGGAGGACAACTTGCTGACTACATGAGAACACATAATATAATGACCACAACGAATGTCCGTAAACTCATGAACTGTGGAGGTAAGATGTAGATAAGTCATTCGGGTTTCAGATTGAGAATACAGCGGTGCTCTGTGAATTATATGTTCAGTATTTTAGGCTTCCTGCCAAAATCACTGTAATGCACTTAAAATGACACAGCGATATTAGACATGTTCATGGATGTGGTGTACGAGTATACAGTATATGAGCTTCTGTGTGTGTGTGTGTGTGTGCTCATGGTGAGTGTGTATGTGTAAGTTTCCATATTGTGCACAGTTCCTTTTGTTTTATCCAGTGCTTTAAATGGTAAAATGGTTCAAGCAAATCTATGGACGTGTAGACATTTATTTGATCATAAGTTTGTGCACTTATACATGATATCCTTAAAGGGACAGTCACCAAAAATGATTATTCATTCATTATTTACTCTTTATGTGGTATATATATATATATATATATATATATATATATATATATATATATATATATATATTTAAAATGTATCATAATATTTTAAATATATGGTTTAATATATAATGATTGAATTTTCATTTTGGCCTAAACTATTCTTTAAACATGACTGAATGTGTGTGCAAGTTTAAACGACCCAGATCCTCATCATTGGGTCAGTGCACAAGCGTGTTTTCATCCTTTGATGTACTATATTAGTCACATATACTCGTTTTCACAAGCTTACACACATGCACACATTCAATAAATCGGTGGATGAATCTATTTTGCGCACATTGAAGGTTTACTGATATTACTGCCAGGCAGACTTATAAGCATTTACACATGACATTTACATTTATGAATTTACAGACACTTTTATCCAAAAGGTATACATGGGAACTTACATAGCTGATGCTGATGCCACGAGTCAAAATATATCGACACGCACAAACACAGAAAATGCCAGGTGAATTACAAGGTGTAAGTGTCGAAATTCTGAGAAGTTGATGGATTGTATTCTCAGCATATACAGATTTCATCATGTGCATCCATTTAGAGGCCATTCAGTCAGTGCAGTATGATCTTAGGGAATCAATCAGAAAACAGCATTAGGGAATGGAAAGAGGATGATTAATTATTGACCAACTGATTCTGCCCTTTAATTTGATGTTATTCTGCTTCATGTGTTTGTAATTTGTTGCGCTTATTTCCTGAATCTTTCATTTGTTTCTTTATTTTGTTTTCCTAAATGTAACTTGACTTGTCAGCACAATATAAACAAAACAACAAAAAACATGTTTTCCCTTTGGAGGAAAAACTGAAATAATAATAATAATATAATTTAAAAATGTGTACAAATTGTGTATGTGAAAATTCCCTGTGTACAATAAAACTTATTAAATGTATAAACTGTAATATTTATTCTTTGCACTAATAACCGATCAAACAGGCACAAGAAACTGCTCGAGATAGCAGACGTGTGGTAGGCGATGTGTTTGTATGAATCTGCATCACAATACAAGCCAAATTCCATTTTTTCCAGCATCACTCTGATACTTGCCCACATGCACGCCAAGCTCATCAGTTTTTTTTCCCTCCAGTTTATACCTTTATTCACCCTCCCTAATACTCCTCTCCACCCACAGAAGGGCATCTGCTGTTTTCTAATCTTTGCCTAAAATCACCAAGATAATCCCTCTATCCATCTGTCATTCAGAGAGAAAGAAAGCATCTTTGCACCAGAGAGGGTTTGTTGTTGTTGTGTTGTCAGTGACATCTAGTGGTTAAAATGAGTAAACTAAATATAAGCTAAAATAATATATACGCTTTATACTGTATTTGACCATATTCAGATTCAAGTAGATTTGGTAAAAGGCTTTACATTGCCAAACAATTGTTAACATTAAATTACAGACATACACATTTACGCGTATAAAAAAAGAAAAGAAAAAAAGAATGTATAATAATAAGAAGGAAAAGGCAAAAACATTACACAAATGAGTTCTTTAAATGCTCTACACAATGATTTTGTTTTATTGGGAACATTTTTTATTATTGTTTATTACATTACTTATTAGACTTTAGCAATTGAATACGTTTACCCTTGGATTGTAAACCCTCTGCAGACTTACGTGACAACTAAGTAATGATAATAAAATTATTATTTGCCAAATGCTTTATTTGCAAATACAACTAGGCATTAGGTTTAGGAAACTAGCACTAAATGTACTTTCTGGTATATATTTTATTTTTCTTTAAGGGCTAGGTGTTCAGCGGAGACCTTGATGGCTTTTAGTTTTTTTTTTTTTACTTTAATAAACACTGTCAAAGTACAGTTAGGACTACAGTAATACACATGAAATCATAAAACACAAATCAAAAAAATATATATAAAATACTAAATATGTATACTAAAGGCATAAACTGCCAGGGTGTGCCGGGTTAAACATTATGTAAATATGTTGAAGGACTTACAAATGGAGACCGTCTTAATTGCTTTCTTATTATGTAAATGAAAAATAGTCTTAAAATAAATTTGAATTTATTTTTCAAGAACCCGAAATAAAGGATTGGTTTTACTGTACTTACACTTATCAATATGAAATTTAGCACAAATTAAAATTAAATTTATAATGTAGTACTCTTTCCTTTTATTTGAGGACCTTTGATCATAGACATAAGAAATGGTTTGAAAACCACTGGCCTAGGTATTTATTATGTCTATGCCTTTGATGGCTTGACGTGCGTCTCTGGCCTTTCAATATGTAAAACGAATCCGATTGGTCCATATTCACGGGGCGGGACATCAGTGGGAAATTGGAAAGAGGTATTGCACTACCATTGGTCAATACTTGCTTCCGTTTATTCCTCGCCCAATAGAATTTAAAAATCTGACGGGCCGGCTAAATCTCACTGGTCATCTCCTCCAGTGATCCCGCCTCCTCCTCGCCCTCAGTGAATCTGGGAGAGTCTTAGCCGAGAGGAGCTAATTCCTCTACGGGTGGATTTATGTGGGTTTTCGTAAAATTGGAACAGACTGGAGAAACATAGTTAAGATAAGACGAATTCTCGGTGTTTTTACGGGTGGATTTTCATCAGCCCGAATACTTCCAGCCTGTCTTCGACTCTCGGGAGAGTTTAGTTAGTCTGGTCGATCGTAATGTGGCTCAGGGGCTAATCCTTGGACTTCATTCAATACTAATTCATCTCGAAGCGCTTCGTTTGGGCGAGCCGAACTGATTTAATAACCACTCACGAGGTAAAATACACAAATAAGCCGGTAAATAACTTGTTACCTGTTGATAGAAGTTGAGATAAAGCTATAAAGAGCTTGCCGGCTAAGTAAATGTGATAGGAACTGTTTAAACGTTATCTTAACCCACAGTCTTAAATATGATTTGTTGATAATGCAGCAACTTAAAATCCCAGTCAAGCATTTTATGTAATATGTATGTTCTTTTCGGTTATTAAAGGAACAGTTCACCCAAAAAAGGAAAATTGTGTCATCATTTACCCACCCTCATATTGATCCAAGCCCATATGACTTTTCTTTCTTCTGTGGAACGCAAAAGGAGATGTTAGACAGAATGACAGCCCCAGTCACCATTCACTTTCACTGCATTTGTTTTCCATACAGGAAAAGTGGAGAGTGACTTATCTTTTTTTGTGTTCAGTCTTTTAACGCTGCCATAATTTGTATAAGTGTATCAGTCCGAGTGAGAAGCATGTATCTGTAAAGGTTATGTTTTTCCTAAGTTGCTCCTGATTAAATCCAATGATACTGCTATTTTCTGTTTCTAACCCTCTCCCCATTCACCTTCTCCTTCTTTCATCCAGAATGACAGAATACAAGCTGGTAGTTGTCGGGGCTGGTGGCGTTGGGAAAAGTGCTCTGACCATCCAGCTCATTCAGAATCACTTTGTAGACGAGTATGACCCCACTATTGAGGTAAGAGTTCACCTTCTTTAAAAGGGTATTCCAACCGAAAATGAAATTCGTCATCTTTTACTCCCCCTCATTTCAATCATGCATGAATTTCTTTCTTCTGTGGAATACAAAACAAGATATTTTGAAGAAGAATGTTGGTAATCAAACTGTTTTGTTTCCCGTTGACTTCCATAGTATGGTCAAAAAGTCATTTTTATGTCTATTCCATGCAGGATTCTTACAGAAAGCAGGTTGTGATTGACGGAGAGACGTGTTTGCTGGACATCCTGGACACCGCTGGTCAGGAGGAGTACAGTGCCATGAGAGATCAGTATATGAGGACAGGAGAGGGCTTTCTGTGTGTGTTTGCCATCAACAACGCCAAGTCCTTTGAGGACGTACATCTTTACAGGTACATAGCCAAACACATGTGGACAAACTGATATATGTAAACAATATTCGGCATCGGTTACCATCAAATAGTCTTTCAGACTAGGGCTGCACGATTAATCGAATGCAATTGTCATGCGCATTTTGTTATTAAAGCCGGTTCTGTAATCAGCAGGAAATCATCATCATGTGCTTTCAGATGGAGCAGAATTTACTTCACAGAGCCGTAGTTCACTGACAAGTTACGCAAAAAAAGACGATTTTATTGCGCGATTATGAAATCGAAGAAATTGTTTCGTGATAATGACAGCTGTTTGCATAGCTTCTCAGTGAAGTAAATGCTGCTCCATCTGAAAGCATGTGAAAATACCACATTATAACATTTTTACTCCAAACTCACTTCATAAGATGATGTGGCTTCTTACACAGAATAAGGCACGCAACATATTTCATAGTATTTAAGCAGTGATAAAGGCATTGCATTATAAATATACTTTATTTTAATGAAAATTTTAATAATAAGAACTCAGATAAACCATATATATTGCCGTAGTTGTGTGTTTATTAGTCACGTTGAATCAATGAAAGCAGTTAAATCTTCAGTTTATCCAGCTACCGCTATAGGCATTTCCTGGGTTTCTTCTGCTAGACGTATTTGGAGTTTCAGCACGAGAGTGCCCTCCGGCCTTCAGATGGAGATTTACTGCTGATCACAGAACCGTGCTTCACTGAAAGATACGCATGACAATCGCAGCTTCTGTCGAATCGCGATTTTGATTC